AGGAGGAGGACTTCTCTATCACACTGCTTACATCACTCCCGGAATCATGGAATTCATTCATCTCATCAGTGGATACTGCTGACTTGAAAGATTCTTACAAGTTGATTTCTCGAATTCTTCAGGAAGACATCCGACTAAAGGAAAAGACTTCTGATCAGACCACGACACTTGCAGCACATGGCAAGAAGTCCAATTCAAAAGTCACATGTTACGGATGTGGGGAAACTGGTCACATCACAAATTGCCCAAATGGGAAGAAGAATTCTGGAAAGTCATGGAAAGGAAAGGGAAAGGGCCAGACTTAGGCACATATTGCCAAATCAGACTCAGAAGAAGATGACTACGTATTTTGTGCAACAGATGTTGCACTTACTTCACTCTCAGGAGTATCATGGCTAGGGGACTCTGGCACCACCAGGCATATAGTCAAAAATAGATTATATTTTTCTGACTATGTTGAAACCCCAGGACATGAAGTCATTGGTGTAGGCAAATCCAAAGGCTTGGGAAGGGGAACTGTCAAGATTAAAATGGTTGAAGGGGAAAAGATCACTCCAGTCACACTAAAGTAGTGTATCCACTGCCCTGATGCACCATTCAATCTTATGTCAATAGGACGCATTACAGATGCTGGATTTGAACTCAGATTCAAAGAGTCCAGAAGGGATATTATCTCACCACATGGCAAGATAATCGGCCATAGAGATAAAATATCAAAGCTGTACAGCCTTGACATCATTGTTCCAGAAATAACCCAGGCCCATGCTACGAAATCAGCCCGATCATGGCAAAAGTGGCACAAAACATTAGGCCACTTAAATATGGGATCGGTAAAGAGACTATTTGTTACGATTTTTCCTTTTTCTTTTCCTTTTTACCCCTATTCAGGCTTAGTCAGAACACGAGACCATGGGAAGGGCTTAGTAAGCACAACTGAACTGCCTAGATACAACGACGCTCGACAATGCACAATTGCCCTTTTATGCACAACAACGATGCTCAAGGGCGATGGGCACCATGGACACAGGTTGACACAATAAGTAGTCGTATTATTAGCATTACTTGTACAGTATTTAAGACCGACAGCTCTCGCTGGTATACCCCAGCTTCGAGCTAAAGTTTATACATACCATTCTACCTCGAGTCTATATCTGACCTTGGGTCACACCGTCCGGATATACATATAGTGAACTCAGGTGATTCCCCGAAGTGCGAAGGAACACCTGTTTATCACGTGTATCAGTTCACGTGACGCTTGGGCTTAACAATTAGCTCGAAGCTTCTGCCTTCCCTTTCTCAAGCCCAATTGTGCTGAGAAACCGAATGCCACCAGTAACCACCACCGACCTGAATCACGACTTCTTCGAGCTCATTGCTTCCATCATTGGAACACTGCTCGGACTTCTCGCCATCATCACTCTTTGCCGTGGACGACAATCAGTAGCAGCTTGGATAGTCAGGCACTATCAGGCATTCCAGCACATCCAACAAATACTATGCAATGTAACCCCGGACCTCCCTTTCCATGACATCCCCCCCTCCGCCAGAACGTCCTTCTTCCCGCAAGGGGGACCCGTACCAGAAACCGGGAATAGCAACCTGGATTCGGGGAGCCTTCACGAGGAAGAAGGACCCCGACACCCCATTCGATGAGACGGCGGAGACCGCCACCCTGCTCTCACAGGGTTCCGGAACCCGTGGACGACGAACGTCGCTCAGGAGCCCGCCGAGGTCTCCAACTACGTCACTCCGGCCGTCTCCCCCGAGCATTCCGCCTCCCCAATTCCCTCAGGGGTTGGAAACCGTGCTCGGGACTCCCTTGATGCCGCTCGGATGGCTGCGGGACCCCGCGAAAGTCCCAACCCCCCCAGAACCCCCCCGAAACCCCC